ATATGTGTAATCAACGGCGATCTTAGAAGTCTGACTTTGACATCCTCGAAATCCGATAAGTTTAAAATCATCCTGACTGTGATTTTTATTCGATTTCTTCTTATCTTTCAGGACTCTTGTTGATACTTCGTACATTCCTGATGATGTACTGGGCATATAATAAGCGACGCGATCTCCGTGCTTGTCAGGATAACCGAGAGCAACGGAGACAACTCCCAAAGGTAATTGAAATTGAAAATCGCCATCAGATAGAAAAGATTCAGCAATTATTGGTCGAAAAGTTGGATTGTCATTAAAGAACCAATATTCATCTTTCTTATAATCATAAACTGCAACGAAATCCGCTAAAACATTTGTAATGTAAATGAATATTTCATCACATTTATTGGATGGAAAATCAATGGTCATGTAAAGATTTCCAGAGGGTTCTTCCTTAGCGATTCGATCGGGAAATTCTGCTCGTCGAATTAAATTAAATTCCCGAGAAACACACCCATTGGCGGGAAGATCATAGACAAGAATTGCTGGCTTTTGAACCACAAAGGTTTTATATCCGTAAAATCTCAAAACTCCTGTGTCAAGTATGAATAATCTATTGCATTGCTCATCAACATTCGCAGTGTAAGCTGCGATTATTCTTACGTGAGGTTTTTCATTTGAGTGATAAAAAAAAGGTTTATATAAAGAGTGAACTCGATGTCTTTGATAGTTTTCAAAATAACTTTGGTTACTACTGAATCCTTCTATCAATTTTTCATGTCTCGATGAATTTATGATTGCAATTTCGTCGAAATCTGACGCTTGTAATGTGTTTGTTTCTACATCAGGAAATGCCCATATTTTAGGACTTGTTTCGGCTTTTAATTTGTCAACACAAAATGCTCCCACGGTTATTGGAACTCCAGGTCTTGTCCGAGTTACTGTGACTACCATGAGTCCACTCCATGGATGATAACCCATTTGTGCGATATTGTTATTTTCGGGTATGTGGTAGCGAAAAGGGCCCACTTGCGAATAATCTGCCAAAGGAAGCACATTTTCAAGCACCATGAATTTCACTTTAACCACATTTCCTTACCCGGCAGGGGCAAATTCTCATACTTCACATCTTTCCACTTAAAAATCTCTTTAATGTTAGCAAGTGAATGTCCAGAATAAGCACATGATAATATCAAAAGAGAGAATATGCAGAATTTATTGATATTTTTCATCTTAGCACACCTTTTCGTTGGTTGACACAACACTGATAGAATTCGCTCCAGATCGAGATGTCTTATAGGAGCTTTTGGATGACATACCAAAGATATTTGAAATGCCAAATGGTTATATTCGAGACATATACATAATTTAGACAGTTTTGTATTCCGGTCTTTTCTCGTGCATTTATTTTTTTGCACACAAACACAAATAACATAGAGATAATTTTATTTATTCACACACAGTTCCTTTTATCGCATCAGAAACTTTTACACGGAAAATTGAGGAATGAACTCGATTCAGGTTCAATGGTTCCTCAGTAACGAAGATGAAGGGAAAGTGGTTGCTGTTGAACCATAAATCTCCAGTGGAATCCACAAATATGTGCAATGGATACGGAAGTTTTATTTCAGACTTATAAACAACTCCTATATTGTCCGGATTAAGAGGTTTGTTGATGTTCCAGCAACTAATTTGGCATGAATTCATTTCTGTGTAAAATATTACACCATGAGTGTAATCAATTGTCATCTTAGCTGCTGAATCGCATCCGCGATATCCCATGATTGAGAAATCATTTGGCTGATAATTGCTTGGTGACTTCTTTCTGTTTTTTAAGATACTTGTGGACACGGCAAATTGTGCTGTGCTTGCTCCTGCAATGTAGTAAGCTGTCCTGTCTCCGCTCTCATTTGGATAACCGAGCGCTATGGAAATGATTCCCAAAGGATTATCATACAGTAGAGTTCCATTGAATACTGAATGTGCTTCTGCCATAACTGGCGAAAAACTTGAATGATCACTGAAGGCCCAAAATTCATCTTTCTTGTAGTCATAAACGGCGAGATAATTGGCATATATGTTGGTTATGTAAATGAAGAGATCATCACATGAATCTGACTGATAATCGAGCGTGATGAACATTACACCGAAAGGTATTTTCTCATAGATTCTTCTTGGCATTTCTGCGCGGCGAATTATGGGGAAATTTCGAGATTTACAGCCATCAATAGGCAAAGAAATCTCGACTAGAGCTGGGTTTTGAATGATATAAGTTTCCTTTCCGTAGTAAGATAACACTCCCACGTCCATGAAGAAAACTCTGTTGCACTTTTCATCGATGTTCACGTGATAAACGGATATTAACCTAATGTCACTGGATTGAGCGTCTGTGGGTCCAGGATGTGATGACACTGTCGCGTGTGGCAGATGGACAGGAATTTTCGGCTTCTTCCATGATTTTCTGCCCTCGAATTCTTGATTGTCTTGGGAAAAATCCTCCGGCTTCAGCGCATTTACTGGATAATTAGGAAAGCCCCAGAGTTTAGGACCCGATCCAGGTTTATATTCATCAACACAAAATGCTGATAGTGATGCCGGAATTCCTGGTCTTAAACGACCAACTGTAGCGATCATGAGTTTGCTCGCAGGATGATATCCGAATCCCAGGATGTCATTATTTTCCGGAATGTAGTATTTGTAAGGGCCAACATATGAATTTTCTGTCAAATTCCACACAAATCTCTCTTACTTCATTTATCGTTCACAATTTCACATTTTCTCACCTGATTGTGGCAGATTTTCAAATTCTACAATTTTCCACTTGTAAATTTCTTCAACATAGTCACTGGAATGCACTAAATTCATTGCTAAGAGAAAGATGAAAAAAGTCACACAAGAGTAGAAGCGCTTCATTGTTATATTTCTTCGTCTAGACGACATCAGCGACTATAGAACATTCCAAGATTTCTGCCTTTTATACCTAGATCAACGGAGCCAAAAATAAATTACGTCCTTTTTAGTCAGACATATATTATGTTTTTTAACTGAAAATAAATTATTAATTATCTCCAGGTCAATCTGTTAGAATTTATGTGTTTTGCATACTTTTACATAATGAAGCAGAACATCACGTGAAGTGCCATCACAGATGTTGAATTCAATAAATTTCTGTTATTCTTATACATATTTCCATAGATATTATTTCTTGTATTTATTTACTGTGTTCACAGCTCATTCCACCAACAGCATCAGAGATTTTAATGCGGAAAATGCGATTGTTTACTGTACTGAGATCCAGAAGATGATCAGATTCAAATATTATAGGAATTGCGGTTGATTGAAACCAAAGAAATCCTTCAGAATCAATGAACATCTGAGCACCAAAGTGGAAATTCTCAGATTCATAAACTACGCCAATATTTTCCGAGTTGAGTGGTTTCGTGATATTCCAGCATCGTAACTGGTTAGATTGCACTTCAGAATAGAACATCACTCCCTGAGAGATGTCAATTAGTGTTTTCAATGACTGATGACCTTTTCCTCGGCTTCCCACGAGTTGAAAATCATCTATGTTAATATTTCCCTGAGACTTTGATTTATCTTTGAGAACCTTCGTGGACACTGAATACTGATCAAATCCGGTGAGAGGAGTATAAAATGCAATACGATCCCCATTTTCATCCGGAAATCCAAGAGCGATAGAAATTATTCCCATTTCCATTTTATATTGGAAATCTTTATCGTATACCATATTTGATGCCGTCACATCCGGCAAGAAGGTTTCATGTGTAAATGACCAAAAATCGTCATTTCTATAGTCGTAAACTACCAGAAAATTGTGAAACGTGTTAGTTATGTACAAAAACAAATCATCACATGAATTCTCCGACTGATAATCCAATACAACGTGCATAAAACCATTAGAACGAATTGAATGCTTTGCAACAATATCCTCGGGTAATTCAGCGCGGCGAATGATGGAAAATTCACGGCTCTCGCATCCATTGGAAGGAAGATCAATCACCCACAACGCGGGTCTTTCTATAAAATATGTTTCATTCTCATGGTATTGCAATATCCCAGAGTCCATGAAGAATGCACGATTACACTTTTCGTCTATTGTAATGTGATAAACTGATATGATTCTACTCATGTCTGATTTTTCATTGCCTTTTTCATCACTTTGAAAGTCTGAGGCTCTGAGAGAATTCATTTCGTAATTCGGAAAGCCCCAAATCTTCGGTCCAGTTCCGATGTTATCCTCAGTGACACAAAAGGCCCCCAAAGTTATGGGGATTCCGGGCCTGGATCTCATAATTGCAAAAATTATTAATTTACTGGCGGGATGAAATCCCATGCTGACGATATTGTTGTTTTCCGGGATGAAATATTTGTAGGGTCCAATTGATGAATTCTCTATGAATTGAGTAAAATTATTATAGAATTTTTCCAGAACACACAATTACAACATTTTTACTCCTCACCTAATTGAGGTAAATTGTCATATTCTAATTTATTCCATTCGAACACGACGTCTAAACTTCTTTCGGTATTAATTAAAACAGGATTTGCTATGAATGTGAAAATACACACAACAAAAATCTTCTGCATTCTGTGTTGCTTCCAAGTTGTCCGGTTATCAGAATAAAACTAACTTTTGTTTGAGGTGAATATCACCTTTTATACAGATAACATCGTACATAAATTCATTTTTTCAAAATGTGTTTGAAGTTTTTATTCAAAGAGTAAAAAATAGATGTCAAGAACGTTCATTAACGTCAAATAAACATAATATTCTGTTTATCTGAATATCTAAATTAAAAGTATATACGTTGTTTTCCAAAAGCAAACACATTATCTTTTTAACATCATTTTTTAATGATATTTTTGTCTGCAATTCCTGTTGTTGTTTTCCATGTTTTATTTAATTGAAATACAAATAAACTGGTGATACAAAATATATTAAACACAATTATTGATTAATACATTATTGCTTACTATAAGTTCGTCTTTGATCTATTTCATTCACAAACCGTTCCTCTAATCGCTTCGGAGACTTTAATGCGGAAAAAGCGATTATTGACTTTGTTGAGATCCAGAGGTTGATCAGATCCAAATATTATTGGAATTGCGGTTGATTGAAACCAGAGAAATCCTTCAGAATCAATAAACATCTGAGCACCAAACACAAAAGTGTCAGAATCGAAAACAACACCCATATTTTCTGATGTGAGTGGCTTCTTAATGTTCCAGCAACGCAACTGATTTGATTGCACTTCGGAGTAGAACATCACTCCGTATGTATGATCGATTATTGTTTTCAATGACTGATGACCTTTTCCTCGGCTTCCCACGAGTTGTATATCTTCCGGGCTGAAGTGATCTGGAGACTTTGATTTATCTTTGAGAATCCTCGTGGACACTGAATACTGGTTATATCCACTAAGTGGAGTGTAAAAAGCTAGTCGGTCTCCATTTTCATCCGGAAATCCGAGAGCTATTGAATTAATACCCATTTCCATTTGGAACTTGAAATGTTCATTATATATCATGTTGAATGCGGACACATCTGGCAAAAAGGTTTCATGCGTAAATGACCAAAAGTCGTCGTTCTTATAGTCGTAAACTACTAAAAAATTGTAAAAAGTGTTAGTTATGTACAAAAACAAATCATCACATGACTTGTCTGACTGATAATCCAATACAACGTGTAGGAAACCATCTGAACCCATTGCAACGATATCCTCAGGTAATTCAGTGCGGCGAATGATGGAAAATTCGCGACTCTCACATCCATTGGAAGGAAGATCAATCACCCATAATGCGGGTTTCTCTATAACGTGGGTCTCGTTTCCGTAATATTGTAACATTCCACAGTCCATGAAGAATAAACGATTACACTTTTCATCTATAGTGATTTGGTAAATTGATATGATTCTACTCATATCTGATTTTTCCAGATTTTTATCGTTATCACTTTGAAAGTCTGAGGCTCTGAGAGAATTCATTTCGTAATTCGGAAAGCCCCAAATCTTCGGTCCAGTTCCGATGTTATCCTCGGTGACACAAAAGGCCCCCAAAGTTATGGGGATTCCGGGTCTTGATCTCATTATTGGCACAATCATCAGTTTGCTGAGTGGATGAAATCCCATGCTGGCGATATTGTTATTTTCCGGGATGAAATATTTGTAGGGTCCGATTGAAGTGTTACCTTTGCATGAAATCAGTATGGTTTTAGGTAAATTGTTGTGTAAATATTGTTTTACTCACCTAATTTAGGTAAATTTTCATATTCCACACTTTTCCATTGGAAAACCACCTCAACATCATTTTTCTGGTCTGTGAATATTGGCACAAATTTCAAGAAGAACACAGAAATACACACAATGAACGTTTTAAACATTTTTGAGTGTTTTTAAATCTTCTGGTAAGACGATTTGATAGAAACAACTTTTCTCCGAGGTGATTATCACCTTTTATACAAAAGATTTTGCACATAAATTCTGTTTTCTTGTAGATTTTATTACAAAAATTGTAAAAAATGTATGTCATGAAAAATTTATTGAAGGTTACACTTGTTGACACCATTAACACTTTAACTGACAACTTTCATATTATTGTTTTTCTTTCTAGAATTAAATAGGTAACTGACTTTTTCACTAATTTCTTTTTTTTTATATATTAATAGAAATTATAAGAACATATGTAAGTTCTTTTCATACATATTCATAACAAAATGCTTACGATGTTTGATCTCCATATGACTTTTATTCACAAATCGTTCCTCGAATAGCTTCGGAGACTTTAATGCGGAAAAAGCGATTGTTGACTTTGCTGAGATCCAGAGGTTGATCAGATCCAAAAATGATAGGAATTGCAGTTGATTGAAACCAGAGAAATCCCTCAGAATCAATAAACATCTGACCACTAAACACAAAAGTGTCAGAATCGAAAACAACACCCATATTTTCTGATGTGAGTGGCTTCTTAATGTTCCAGCAACGCAACTGATTTGATTGCACTTCGGAGTAGAACATCACTCCATATGTATAGTTCATTATTATTTTTGATGATTGACGATTTTTTCCTCGATGTCCCACAAATGTTATATCTTCCGGGCTGAGGTGATTTGGAGACTTTGATTTATCTTTGAGAACCTTCGTGGACACTGAATACTGATTATATCCGCAGAGAGGAGTATAAAAAGCTATTCGGTCTCTGTTTTCATCCGGAAATCCGAGAGCTATTGAATTAATACCGACGACCATTTCATATTGGAAATGTTCATCGTAGACCATGTTGGATGCGGACACATCTGGCAAAAAGGTTTCATGGGTGAATGACCAAAATTCGTCATTTCTATAATCGTAAACTACCAGAAAATTGTGAAAAGCATTTGCTACATATAAGAATAAGTCATCACATGCATTCTCCGACTGATAATCGAGACTTAAATACAGGAAACCATTTGCACGAACTGAATGTTTTGCAACAATATCCTCAGGTAATTCAGTGCGGCGAATGATGGAAAATTCACGGCTCTCGCATCCATTGGAAGGAAGATCAATCACCCACAACGCGGGTCTTTCTATAAAATATGTTTCATTCTCATGGTATTGCAACATCCCAGAGTCCATGAAGAATGCACGATTACACTTTTCATCTACGGTGATTTCGTACACTGATATAATTCTTTTCATGTCTGATTGTTGTTTGTCTTTATCACTAGTTTCACTCTGGAAATCTGAGGCTCTGAGAGAATTCATTTCGTAATTCGGAAATCCCCAAATCTTCGGTCCAGTTCCGATGTTATCTTCGGTGACACAAAAGGCCCCCAAAATTATGGGAATTCCGGGTCTTGATCTCATTATTGGCACAATCATCAGTTTGCTGAGTGGATGAAATCCCATGCTGGCGATATTGTTATTTTCCGGGATGAAATATTGGTAGGGTCCAATCGATGAGTTTTCTATAAATTTACTAAGATTATTATAGGATTATTTGGCATAAAAGCATTTTAAATATTTTACTGCTTACCTGATTGAGGTAAATTTTCATATTCCACGCTTTTCCATTGGAAAACCACTTCAACGTCATTTTTCTGATCTGTGAATATTGGCACAAATTTCAAGAAGAACACAGAAATACACAAAATGAACGTTTTAAGCATCTTTGGGTGTTTTTAAATCTTCTGGTAAGACGATCTGATAGAAACAACGTTTCTCTGAGGTGAATATCACCTTTTATACAAAAGATTTTGCACATAAATTCTGTTTGTTTGTAGATTTTACGGGTTTAGATGTTAATATTATTGTAGAAAAATACGAATATGTAATGAAAAATCTAATCCTACTAATTTCTGAATTTTTTACTATGAGTCAACACATATATTTACCCTTTTCTTATTTTATTTCTTTTAAATGCTCATAGATTTGTCTGACTTTTCATAGAAAGTTCGTGAAGTGTACTTTTGTTAATAACATGCTTCAATTTAATGTATAATTAAAATAATCAGAATGTTGTCATAAATTTTTTGATTAGTTGTATAAGTCTGAATGAATTATTTTATTTACTGCATTTCATATTTTTCGAGCACTTGTTTTTATTGAATTATCTAGTTCGCTTTTTGAAACGGTTTTTACATCATGTGCATAACAATTAAATAAATCATTTCTTTGCTGTTTTTAACTATATAGAAGTATTTTTAGGTTTTGTTATTGCGGAATCGTAAATGGTAATTTTCTCTTATTCTTTGTTTTATTCACATACGGTTCCTCGAATGGCATAAGACACTTTTGTTCGGAAAATACGATTGTTAACTTTGTTGAGATCTAAAGGCAGATCCGATGTCAGTAATATTGGCATCTGACTAGAGTAGAACCACAGATGGCCTTTAGAATCAACAAACGTTTGCAGACCAGAATCAAAGTATTCTGACTCAAAGACAATGCCAATGTTGTCTGGATTGAGAGGCTTCTTAATATTCCAGCACCGCAACTGATTAGTTTGAATCTCAGAATAGAACATCACTCCGTGTGTATAGTCGATGACGGTTTTGAAACTCTGATGATTACATCCGCGGTATCCCATAATTCTAAAATCATCTGGCTTCTGATTAGCTGAATAGTTTCTATCTTTGAAAACTTTAGTTGATACTTCGTATTGTGCTGTTCCCGCAGTTAGTGTATAATATGCAGTTCGATCACCAAATTTGTCTGGATATCCGAGACTCATAGAATACAATCCCATATTCATTTGATAGTGAAATGTTTTATCAAATATAAAATACGATTCTGAAACCACTGGTTCAAAAGTTTGATGGTGAATCGTCCAAAATTCATGTTTACTGTAATCATACACGGTTAAGTGATTGTAGAATGTGTTTGTTGTATAAACAAACAAATCATCACAAGAATTCCCTAACTGATAATCAAGAAATACATGAACGAATCCATTTGATCCCTTTGCGGCAACATTGTCAGGCAATTCCGCATGCCGATCTGTAGGAAAACTACGAGTTTCACATCCGTTTTCCGGAAGTGTAATTGCCCAAAGCGCTGGTTTTTGCATGATATGCGTTGTATTTTGATAATATTGCACTTGTCCATTATCCATGAAAAAAACTCGATTACACTTATCATCAATTGTGAGGTGAAACACTGAAATGATTTTCTTAAAGCTCTGCTTTTTATAGAACGATGTCTGATGCCATTGAGGATTTCTATCGATATAACTTTTAGAATTGTATTCCTCTACTGGAGTAAAATCTTGAAGCTTATTCAGCACTGCATTTTCGTTGTGCCTTGCTTTGATGCTCCAGAAGTGATAATCTTGCAGCTCATTTATTCTGTAATTTGGAAAACCCCAAAATTTGGGACTATTTGTGTTAGAAGTTAAGTTGTAATCGTTGACACAGAAAGCACCCAATGATGTCGGAATTCCGGGCCTTAGTCTATCGATTGTCACTATAAATATTCCACTGGCTGGATGATATCCAAAACTACCAATATTGTTATTTTCTGGAATGTAGTATCGATATGGACCCACTTGTGCATATTCTAGAATGAAACATCAATTTTTAACGCGAATCTGTAATCTAAAGCTAAAGTGCAACATTGTCACACAATACCTGATTTAGGTAAAGATTCATATTCTATTTTACTCCACGAAAACACTTCTTCAACGACACTGTTGTTATGTCCAGAGATACATGATAAAAGCAGAACTATGAATACAAATTCAAATATAATCTTCATGTTATCCACTTGTCTACAGAATGAACACTAAAGATATTTTCATGTCTGTCGCATTTTATATAAAATTTCGATGGAATAATTTTAAGAAACAGGATAGAAAAAAAATGTTGTCAAATAAATATTCTTATGCATGTGTTTCTACATAAAAGCAGTTAACAGCTTAGAAGCATCATCGAGTGAACTTTGATAATAGATATTTTAACTTACATACATATCCCAGGAAAAGTATTTGCATAAACTCCAAAACGAATTTTGCCAAAAATCAAATTTATTTCTCTATAGAGATTTTGAATCCATGTACATATGTATGTGACAATATCTTTCTCTACTTGTGTGAAACATCAAATAAATTTTATTGCATTTTATTCGGTTTTTATGCAAGTTTTGATATTTTTATTGCTTTGCTCAGTTTTCGCAGACAGTTCCGAGAATGGCGTCGGACACCTTGATGCGGAAGATCCTGTTGTTGACTTTGGTGAGATCCAGAGGCAATTCGGATGCGAAAATGACAGGAACTTCACTGGAGTGGAACCAGAGATAGCCCTGAGAATCAATGAACATCTGTATGCCACCCACGAAGTTTTCTGACTCAAAAACAACGCCAATGTTGTCCGGGTTGAGCGGCTTCTTGATGTTCCAACAACGCACTTGATTGGTCTGGATCTCAGCATAGAACATGACGCCGTAAGTATAATCTATAACCGTCTTGGAGCTTTGGTGCTTGCACTCTCTGTAGCCCATGATGGCGAAGTCCTCAACAGTGGTCACGGGATTTGACTTTTCCTTGAACACTCTTGTGGACACCTCATATTGAGCTGTTCCTGCTTTCTGTGTGTAATAAGCTGTTCTGTCACCAGCTTCATTGGGGAATCCCAAACTGACAGAGTACAATCCCAATGGCATTTGATATTCGAAGGTCTTGTCGAAGACGAAGGAAGACTCTGTGAGAATTGGCTGGAATGTTTGATGGTCAATGGTCCAGAAATCGTTGTTCTTGAAATCGTACACCATCAAGAAATTGTACAGAGGATTCGTGATGTAGAGGAATAGATCGTCACATGAAGATTCTGATTGGTAGTCAAGCACAACATGAGCAAATCCATATGAGCCCTTCTCTATGATCTTGTCAGGAAGCTCAGTACGACGAACGATTGGGAACACGCGGCTGTGACATCCGTTTGCGGGCAGTTCCATGACGACAAGAGCTGGCTTTTGGATCGCATAAGTGGCACTTTGATTGTACTGCACTTGTCCGTTGTCTATGAAGAACAATCTGTTGCACTTCTCATCCACTGTCACGTGGAAAACTGAGATAATTCTGTCGAGATCATAGAAAGGACCCACTTTGATTGGGAAGGGTTTGTCGTAGAAAGGAATTTGTTGCAGATATGGGTATTTGTTGTGGAAATTATTGTAGTAGTATTTCTCTGTCCGCGTGAGATCTCCTGGTTTATTCCACACTTTTCTTCCTCTCTCTTCCTCAGTGCCTCTGAGGAAATCAACGTCGTGCAGTTCGTTAATTTCATAATTGGGGAAGCCCCAAATTCGTGGACTCTTTCCAAAGTTAAATTCATTGAGACAATACGCCCCCAAAGACGTTGGCACACCAGGTCTCAATCTGCCTATTGTCACAACCACTAGTTTACTGGCAGGATGAAATCCGAAACTGGCAATGTTGTTATTCTCCGGAATGTAGTATTTGTAAGGCCCGACGCTCGAAAATTCTGTAAAAATTTTATTTTTAACTCTTTATTTTAGTATAAATCACTTCACAATCGAACCTGGTTTTGGTAAGAATTCGTATTCCACTCGATTCCACTTTGCCACTTCTTCCACTTTTTCTTCATTGTACCCTGAGATGCTTTGCAAAATGATAACTAAGAGTCCCACCCCTAATAAGATCTTCATTTTTGGTAGCTTTCCGTGTAGCTTGAGGAAAAGAGCAACACAAAATGATGCTTTTGCTAAGAGATTCTCACCTTTTATACAAATTTTCACGAGACTTGTCCTGTCGAACAGGAAATCAGGTAATGAAGAAGAGCTATCAAATAAATTTTCACCTTAAAATAATTCAGTGAAGGTTGAAATGTGAGATCATAAGTGCAAATTTCGGGATATTTTAAGGAAATAATAGATTTTTTTTTGTTAAATGCCATCATTTATTTATTTTAACTAGACATACATAGACTACATAGATACATACCTATGTATGTACAAACATAGGTTGGTCTCCGAATTAAAAACATTTTATATAAATGACCTTCTAGCATATAATCTTCATACATAAATACATACGTATGTTAATTAAACTTTTCCTCAAACCCAGAATGAAAGTGGTGAAACTGAAGATTTTATTGGAACTAATTCAAATTTCTGAATGGCATTACAATTCTGCAGAAGTTATCCAGTTTTTCGTTTAATTCATTACTGATCAATTTGCGCAGACGGTTCCTTGAATGGCGTCGGACACTCTGATGCGGAAGATTCTCTGGTTGATTTTGTTGAAATCTAGCGGCGAATCTGTTGCAAAAGTAACAGGGACACTGGTAGATTGGAACCAAAGGTATCCCTGGGAGTCGATGAACATTTGGAAACCGGCTGAAAATTCTTCTGATTCGTAAACAACGCCAATATAGTCTGGATTGAGTGGCTTCTTGATGTTCCAGCATCGCAACTGGTTCGATTGCACCTCAGAATAGAACATCACTCCGTAATTGTAGTCAATGACCGTCTTGAAACTCTGATGATTGCAGCTGCGATATCCCATAATTCTGAAATCGTTAAGACTCTGACTAATAAAAGAGTTGTTCTTGTTCTTGAGAACCTTCGTTGACACTGCGTATTGGGCAGTTCCTGCAATGGGAGTGTAGAAGGCTGTTTTGTCGCCGTTAACATCTGGATATCCCAAACTAATGGAAAACACTCCTGCACTCAATTGATACTCGAAACTCTTGTCGTACGTGAAGAAAGATTCTGAAACAACAGGCTGGAACGTTTGATGCTCAAGAGTCCAGAAATCGTTATTCTTATAATCATAAACGGTTATGTAATTGAAGAAAGTGTTGGTGAAGTAGACGAAAAGATCATCACATGAAGACTCTGACTGATAATCGAGAGTGATATGAGCAAATCCATATGAGCCCTTCTCCGTGACCTTGTCAGGAAGCTCAACTCGTCGAATGATTGGGAAGTTCCTGCTCTCACATCCATATGTGGGCAGTTCCAAGACGAGCAGAGCCGGCTTTTGAATGTAATACGTGGAATTTTGGCTGTACTGCACCTGTCCATTGTCCACGAAGAACACTCGATTGCATTTCTCATCAACCGTGACCTGGAACACTGAAATAATTCTGTCGAGATTGTAGAGTGGCCCCACTTTGACGGGGAATGGGCGGTCATTGTCTGGAGTTCTTCCGAAATAACTGTTGCTGTAGTAAGTAAGGGCTTTGACTGGATCAGCCGGTCTGTTCCACGTTCTTCGACCTCTGTCTTCTTCCGTGCCTCTCAAGAAATCAATGGCTTGCAACTCGTTTACCAGATAGTTGGGGAAGCCCCAAATTCTTGGGCCTTGGCCATAGAGATAATCACGAGCACAGAATGCACCCAAAGTCACTGGAAGTCCTGGCTTAATTCTCGGGAACACCACAATCACCAATTTACTGGCCGGATGATATCCAAAACCTCCGATGGCGTTGTTTTCCGGGACGTAATACTTGTAGGGTCCGAGGAACGTATACTCTAAACATTGCAAAATCCATAATTAAAACTCATTTTATTCATTTCAATTTCAAACACTCGCAAACTCAACCTGATTTTGGCAAGAATTCAAATTCCACCTTATTCCACTGGAACACTTTCTCCACTTTATGTTCATTTAATCCTGCAATATTTTGCAGAACGAGAACTAATAATCCCAACGCAAGTAAGATCCGCATTTTGTGTGATTAACAGCTTGACCGAAAAAATGAGCAACACAAAATGATTCTGTCTAGAGAGTGAAGATCGCCTTTTATACTTTATACTTCACATACTCACAGAAATCAATCCTGTCCAACAGGAACTGAAATTTTTCATGATAATATAGAAGAGCTATAAAATAAATTTTCACACAAGACTCTTTTTTGGCAGCATTAGCGAACATTAACGTGTGAGATCATGAATACAAATTAGGGATAATTCATCGATAATTTTATCAATTGATTCCATGTGTAAATTTTCGAATAATAAAATCCAAGTTGATTCCATCTCATGGACAAATTTGAGCTGTGCAAGTTTACAATGCTCAATTGTCAAAAGTCGCATATATGAATATCGAATAGCAGATAATAAAAAGTAAAATTTATTTTCTTATAATGGATTTTCTGTATTAATGGCACGTGAATCAAATTCTATTTTAACACCTGACATTTAGACTTAAATTTTTATGGCATAGAAGTTTTTGAAGCTCATTGATAAGTTTTCAGCACGCGCTTTTCATTGATCTTTGTTCTTGCAAATGGTAAGTAAAGATTCTTTTCACATCATCGATAAGCCGATAATGTCACAATCATATTTGAAGTTCAATAAACTAAAACTACATTATGTGAAAAAATTAAATTTGTATATTATTATAATTTACAACTTTTTATAGAATATCTATTGCTAAATATTGATTTATGGAGATGGTAAAATAATTAATTATTTATTTACAGATTTCAGTGAACCCGGACAACCATTTGGAAGGTCACGCAGGTGAGAATTAGGTAATAAAAATGTATTTTCAGTTGTTTGGGCATCTTTATTATTAATCTATCTGTTTCAATCATTTTCACACACAGTTCCACGAATTGCATCGGAGACTTTTACGCGGAAGAATCTTGCATTGATCTTTGTCAGATCAAGTGGCATATCAGACGCGAATATAATTGGAATGCTGCAATAGTGAAACCAGAGATATCCTCGAGAGTCTATGATCATCTGCAAGCCAAAGTTGAACTTTTCAGACTCGTAGACCACATCAATATAATCGGGGTTTAGAGGTTTCTTGATGTTCCAGCAGCGAATTTGATTTGACTGAACTTCCGAGTAAAACATCACGCCGTGAGTATAGTCAATCACCGATTTGAAATTTTGATGATTGCATCCAAGATATCCTGTTATTCTGAAGTCATCCTGATTGAAATTAGCAGGTGATTTCCTTCTGTTCTTGAGTACAGCTGTGGATACTGCATATTGAGCAGTTCCTGCTATGTTGGTGTAATACGCAGTTTGATCACCATATTTGTCTGGATATCCGAGACTCAGTGAGTATATTCCCATGAGCATTTGATAATTGAATGTTTTGTCAAATACAAGATAAGACTCTGACACAACTGGTTGGAATGTTTCGTGTTCAAATGACCAAAATTCGTCTCTTTTATAATCATAAACGACCAAATAATTAAAGTATGCATTCGGAATGTAGAGGAAAAGATCATCACAAGATTGTGACGATTGATAGTCAAGTGTTACGTGTGTAAATCCATTTGCTCCTTTAACAGCTATTCTATCGGGCATTTCCACGCGACGAATAAGAGGAAAACTTCGAGTCTCACATCCATTATCTGGAAGTGCAAAGACCCAAAGAGCTGGCTTTTGCATCACATAAGTGGTATTTTGATAGTATTGCACTTGTCCAAAGTCAACGAAAAACACTCGATTGCATTTCTCATCGATTGTGATATGGAACAAGGCTATTATCCTTTGATCATTTTGGAGATCAGATGGTTGTTTCACAGGTTTTTCACTAGGTTTCATATAAAGTGGTACTTGATGAACGTAGTGATGATTTCCATGATAATTATAGTGATGGTATTCACTAAAGTAGTTGTGAGTTTGAAAATTTTGACCAGTGTTATGTTTATTGGGCTTTTTGATATATTTTCTTGAGGAACCTTCATCTTCGAAGTCAGAGGCTCTCAAAGCATTAATGTAGTAATTGGGAAAACCCCATATTTTAGGGCTTGATCCAGATTGGTAATCACTGACGCAAAAAGCACCCAAGCCTGTCGGAACTCCGGGTCTGAGTCTGGGCATAACAACTATCATCAATGCACTGGCAGGATGATATCCCAGGCTGGCAATATTGTTATTTTCCGGGATGTAGTATCTGTACGGACCCACGTATGAATTCACTGAAAGTACATATCACACACTCAAAAATCACAGAACAATTCATATAAAGGCACAAAACATTTATCAACTAAGATGTGCGATCTCTTAATTTAAAAGACTCGTGATTTTTTTCATTTATATTACTATAGAAATAATTAAATAGGGGTTTTTACCTGATTCTGGCAAATTTTCATATTCAACTGTCTTCCAATTATAAACTTGTTCAACAAAATCAATTGAGTGCACAACAATAAGCTGACTCACGATCACTGCTACCATCACCGTGAATATGTTCATGGTTAATTCTTGTTATCCCCTCAAGGTCCACAGACGAAATGTCTGTTTTCTACCGTGCATTTCTTCTTTTATATAAAATTGTTGGACTCATTCCCTCTGTAGAAATCGAGGTAGAAATTTAAAATTAAAGGTCACATGCTGGGTGAACATTAATTTTAAGCATTTTTCAGTTATATAAATAGTAACTATCTGTCTGGTGATTCCTAATGTTTTTCTGAGATTTTGTCAGATTGTTTTCTCTGCCAAATAGATGTCGATTTGTCACTATGCAAGGCTCAAAATAAATACTTGACACACTTTGTTGAGAAGAACTCAAAGCTTAGCATATTTTTCTTTTTCGTACATTTATTGATTATTGATACACTCGTTTGCATATATAATCACCAAGCTCATTTGCTTAAATGTGCGTTGGGAAGCCACTTTTGAATTGAACGACTCTTTAATCTTCTAATATATAGATCCACTTTTCCTTCTTCTTCCGCACGATGATCCCTGTCGGTATGCATAATGATGTGTATCAGCACTTAATGAAAAAAATATATTAATTTCCCGACTGTCTTGTGATGAGGGACAAAGCGTGCAGACATGACAACTTTGGTATTTATCGCATCCTCAATTCTTTGCATGAGTCTGAAAATGACCTCTCGCGTCCTTGGAATGTTTTGAATTGAAAAGAGATGTCTGCGGAAATGTTTTATTTTTATTGGAGATTCTCCATTTATACACTCTACACAAAGAACCACGCCACAGAGTGATCGTTTATTTTAATCAATGATTCCGAAATTTACATATATGTGTAACTTTTAGTTTTTATTATTACAACTCGGAGATGTCTGGCGATATACATATTGTATATATGGAATTTATTTATTTCTATCATACTTATATTATTAGCTCATTTTTTTTCTTTGTTTTTTTCCTAATATTCTAATGTATGTAGCGTAACTGTAAAGACAACCTTTAATTCTCACAGACGGTTCCCTTGATGGCATCTGAGACTTTGACGCGATATGTTCTGGAATTGACTTCTTGAATATTAAGCAAAATGTCTGAAGTGTAATCAATTGGAATATGAGAAGTGTGGAACCAAAGATACCCTCTGGTGTCTAGATATATATCCTGGTGATACCAGAGATCTTTGGACTCATAAACCACACCAATATTGTCCGGATTCAATGGTTTATTAATATTCCAACAGCGCACTTGATAGGACTGAACTTCGCCGTAAAACATTACACCGTGCGTGTAATCAACCACAGATTTCAGTGGTTGATGATCACATCCCAAATATCCCATGATTCTGAAATCATCTTTATTGTAATTCATTGGTGATTTTCTCCTATTTTTAAGCACACTTGTGGACACGGCATACTGAGCTGTACTTGATATTGACGTATAATATGCTATTCGATTCCCGTACTTGTCAGGAAATCCAAGTGCTACGCTGAATAGTCCCAGAATGAACTGATAATCGTAAGTTTCTCTAAACACATAGTAAGATTCTGCAATGATTGGCTGGAATGTTTCATGTTCAAATGCCCAAAATTCATCCTTTTTGTAATCATAAACCACAAGATAATTGTAGAAAGCATTTGCAATATATATGAAAATATCATCACACGAGTCAGATTGATAATCAATCACTGAGACCATAAATCCATATGCTCCTTTCGCCACTATTCTGTCGGGAAGCTCAGATCGTCGTATGAGGGGAAAATTTCGAGTTTCACAACCATTTGAAGGCAAATCATACACCACGAGAGCTGGTTTTTGGATTGCATAAGTCGTATTGTGATAATATCTAAGTTCTCCATTGTCCACAGTGAAGAACCGATTACATTTCTCATCTATAGTGATGAAGCAAATTGAAATAATTCGCCAATCAGAAGATTCTTCAGGTGGTGTTGGTTTGGGTTGCACATAAACAGGTTTTTGAAAAACACTGTGATGATTTCCATGATAATTGTGTTGATAGTGGCCTCCAATTTGGCCGAAATCGTAGTAAGATTGTCCTTTGTTGGGTTTACTTAAACCTTTTCTTGTTACATCGTCAAATCTTTCATTCCTGCCTTCACTCTGAAGCGGACCGTCTGCAAAATCGGCATCTGACAAGGTGTTAATTTCATAATTAGGGAAACCCCAAATTCTTGGACTGGATCCTTGTTGATAATCATTAACACAAAATGCACCCAGCGAAGTTGGAACACCTGGCCGAATTCTAACGCAAACAACTGTCATTAATCCACTCGCAGGATGATATCCTGTGCCGATTATATCATTATTTTCCGGGATATAGTATCTGTACGGTCCCACGTACGAATTCTCTGAAAATAGCACACATCACAATAAATCGGTGCACTGTGGATGAGTAAAAGCACAACACTGCAATCTATCACCTGATCTTGGCAAATTTTCAAAATTAACATTCTTCCAGTAGTAAACTTCCTCAACATCTGTCTCGGAATATCCTGGATATTCTGCACTAGTCGAAAAGATGAAAATATAAAATAGTCCCCCGAAAGTGAGAATGTTCATTTTGGTGGTATTTCTGCAGCCAGAACAGAGTCAAATGACCTCAGGAAGAGATGAAGACGCCTTTTTATACTGAACTCCGTGAGAATCGTTGAGAATTCTTGATAATCCAGCATCATGATTGCTTGTGTTTGAAATTTATTGTTAATTTGTGCTGTTTCATTAATTTTGTATATTTATACAAGACGCAGATTTCTTTGAAAGAATTTCTTTTCATTCTTCATATTTTCCTTAATTTTTCCCTAAAATATTATGTGATCTTTTCATAGAAAAATAATGAAGAAAGGCGACATTTCATGTAATTTTTTTTTTGTTCATACATGAGTAATTTATGGTGATTATTCCTGTAGATATTTCTCTAATCTCTCCAAGGCGAAGATTTTTGTAATTTTTGTTAACTCTGGCGCACACTTTGCTAATAAATTCAGATATTGCGATGTCAAAGAACTCTTTCAGCTGAACTTTTGGAAATGGATATCAACATGGTGTTAGCGAGAAAAGTTATTTTGGGAATCAGAGTCGAATGAAATCTAGAGGCAATCTGCACCCTTTATTTTATGCAAGCAAAAACATAAATTTGAAGATACATCAGCAGTGAAGATACATTTTACAGATTATTCTTTTGAATTTAGAAAATACATGCAGTAGGAGGTATATTAATTATGATACGATACATCATATATATTTGTTGCTTATCTTCCCCACAAATCTTTATTATTCATCTTCGCAGATGGTTCCTCGAATGGCATCGGTGACTCTCATCCGGAAGGTTCTGGAATTAATGTTTTGCAGGTTCAATGGTTCATCGCTGGTGAAAAGAATGGGAATGTAGCAAGTATGAAACCAGAGATATCCCCAAGAGTCTATAAAAATATTTATGCCGTAGAGCAAATCATCAGACTCATAAACTACATCGACATTGTCGGGATTTAGAGGTTTGTTGATTTTCCAGCAACGAATTTGATTTGATTGGACTTCAGCATAGAACATAACTCCGTGAGCATAATCAATTGCAGTTCTGCAACTCTCATGTCCGCATCCTCGATGGCCCATGATACTGAAGTCATCGTTATTGTAATTCGTCGGAGATCTTCTTCTGTCCTTCAGAACTCTCGTAGATACTTTATATTGCGCTGTGCTTGCTACAGTCGTATAATAAGCTGTACGATCTCCGTATTTGTCGGCATATCCAAGAGCAATAGAATACATTCCTAAAGGCAAATCATAGTAATACGTTCTGTCAAATACAAAATGCGATTCTGCTATGACTGGAAAGAAAGTTTCGTGGTCGAAATACCAAAAATCATCATTCTTATAATCATACACTGTAAGATAACTGGAGAAGGCATTCGCTATGTACACGAAGAGATCATCGCATGAGCCGCTTTCTTGGTAGTCGAGAGTTGACACCATAAATCCATAGGAACCTCTGGCGGCAATACTGTCTGGGAACTCTGCAAGACGTATAATGGGGAAGTTTCTAGTTTTGCATCCGTTTGAGGGAATTCCAATGACTGTCAATGTAGGATTCTTAATAAGATAAGTGGTGTTGTGGTAGTAATAGAGATGTCCGTTGTCCATTGTGAACAATCTGTTGCATTTCTCGTCCATCGTGAGATAACAGACTGAAATGATTCTGTCCGTTGATTCTTGCGGTGGCGGTGGTTTTGTAATTGGAGATTGATAAATTGGCACTTGAACCTGCTGATGACTCGATTGGTAGTGCCCATGGTGATAGTTTTGATAGTTGCCTCCATAGTTAGTGTAATAAGACTGTCCATGATGATATTTGTTAGGTTTTGAATGGAATTTTCTGCCCTCTTCGTCTGGCCCACCAATGAAATCTGAGTCCCTTAGAGCATTTATTTCATAATTGGGGAAACCCCAGATTTTGGGGCTCGATCCTTCCGAATAATCACTGGCACAAAATGCAGCCAAAGACGTTGGAACTCCTGGTCTGATTCTAACAATGACCACAACCATTAAACCACTTGCACGATGATAAGCAACGTTGATCAAGTTATTATTTTCCGGGATTAAGTATTTGTAGGGCCCCACATATGAATCAGCTGACAAACAAATACAACATTATAAATCACGCTAATGAATTGCAGAATTAAATATATCACCTCTTCTCGGCAAATTCTCATATTCGACTTCTTTCCAATAATACACTCGTTCGGCGGTTTTAACTGCACATGCACAAATAATGCATGAAAAAAAGACACTCAACAATCCTCCAAGGAGAATAATATTCATTGTATCTTCACTTTTGTATATTTCTCCGAGAAAACAGTCAAATGAACACTCTCCTGCGTGAAGATTGCCTTTTATACTGATCTTGGTGGGATCATTGGGACCATTCACTTGCCAAGAATATTGATTAGATTGATTTTTTATTCTGGGAAGGAGTGTTAGTTTTAGAACTGATTATAGATGCAAAGCAAATGAATCTGCAACATGCTGTCAACCGCAAAAAGACATATATTGTGTTAAAGCCATTTTATTTAAAAACGCGTGCTAATTCATGAACGTTAAAACAAAAGCTATTTAATAATCATTGCGATTATACATTTTATTAACAGAATTAAAGACAATTTAACATTTTCACGAGAATGTATAGCTGCAGAATACTCGACAAGAATGGGATAAGAATAAAGCAACAGAATCGTTCGGGAGTCGATTTATTTAGTAATTTATTGATTCCTCCTAATGATTTCTTCACTCCTTAAAATACAACGACATTCGCTAATTATTGCGAAATATATATTTTTCCAATGTCTCCTGAGATAAGATGTGAACAAACGATCTTGATTCGAGTTTCTGGATGATATCTGATGTAATGCTAAATCACTCTGCATAGATAAATAAAATTTGGGATTCCAAAGACAATTTATTGTGAAATATTTTTAGGAGTGTTTTGTATGATTGTTGCTAAACGAATACGCACATGTTCATATAATTATTATGTACTCCTCTCCTTAAAGAATATAAAAAAAATTCCAGTAATAATTCAAAATCAACCATCGATATTGCATAGTGTTCCTCGAATTGCATCAGTAACCTTTACGCGGAAAAATCTGGAATTCACCTGCGTGAGATCCAGAGGATTATCAGAAGTTAATAAGACAGGAATAGAAGTAGACTGAAACCAAAGATACCCTCTCGAATCTATGAGCATTTGTGGCCCGAAGAAGTATTTATCAGATTTGTACACCACGTCTCTAGTATCCGGATTGAGGGGTGAATTCACTTTCCAACAGTGAATTTCATTAGTTTGTACATCGGCTGTGAATACTACTCCAGTCGCATAATCAATTACACTTTTCAACGGCTGAGAATTACACCCTAAATATCCCATAATCCTGAAATCATCCGAGTTAAAATTGGCTGGAGATCTTCTCTTATTCTTAAGGATTCTTGTAGATACAGCATATTGAGCCGTTCCTGCTACCGAAGTGTAATAAGCTGTTCTATCACCGTCTTCATCGGGATAACCAAGAACTATAGAAAATAAGCCCAAAGGCATATCAAAATTGTAAGTTCCACGGAACACCATGTGTGATTCTGCGATGACTGGCTTGAAAGTTTCATGATCAAATGTCCAAAAGTCATCTTTCTTATAATCGTATACAGTAAGGTAACTATGGAAAGTGTTTGTTATGTAAAACAAGACGTCAGCACAGTCGTCTGATTGGTAATCGGGAACAACGTGCATGAATCCATATGATCCCATTGCTGCTATTTTATCCGGAAGTTCTCTTCGACGTATAATAGGAAACTGGCGTGTTTCACAACCATTTGACGGCAAACCAATGATCCACAAGGACGGCTTTTGAATTATATAAGTAGCATTCAGATAATACTGAATCTGTCCGTGGTCCATGAACAGAACCCTGTCGCACTTTTCATCGCCATTTACTTGAAACACAGAAGCAATTCTCTTAATTTCTAATGGTTGTTCAATTGGAGCCACAGTCGGTTTCACATAAATAGGAACATAGTGATGATTGTTGTGATGTTTGTTGTGATGTTTGTGAATTCTGGTCTCATCGTCTTCTTCTGTTTCCAATTGAGTGGCAAAATCAGTCGCATGAAGTGCATTCAATTCGTAGTTAGGGAATCCCCATAACTTTGGACTTGAGCCAGTTGGATAATCTCCGATGCAGAAAGCACCAACTGATGTTGGAACTCCGGGTCTCAATCGCACATTTGCTGTCATTATCAATCCACTGGCGACATGATATGCTATTGATCCAACGCCATTATTTTCCGGGATGTAATATCTGTAGGGTCCAACCCATGATTTTTCTAAAAATTGCACACATCACAGTTAATCTGAGTATTATTTTCACACACAATTTAATTCACCTGAGTATGGCAAATTCTCGTACTCCACCTTCTTCCAGCGAAACATTTCTTCAACATGTCCCACACTGAGAGCAGCAAAAGCTCCCAGCATCACAAAAACCGAAATATTCTTCATTCTATATAATGGTATTTAAACTGCAAGCCTGAACATGGCGAAATGGTTCTTGATTGAGTGCGGTTCTGCTTTTATACCACAACTTGTGGGTCACTACCCTCTGCGCGCCTTATTTATCCGTATCACCATATATATTAAAGAGGAATTATCAATTTTAAAAATCATGCGTGAGGTAGAATTCGACTTTTATATATTCAGTAGAGAATACATATCCATTGCCCACATTTTCAATACACATACATCCGAAGATCAATATTGATAGCCATCGTCATCATCACACTGTTCCCCGAATAGCGTCAGAATCCTTTACTGGGAAGATCACAAGATAGTCATTTTATGCGCCGTACTAGGAATTCAGAGTACTACTGCTGGTACCGTGACCATAAATATGAATACGTAGAAAATACACAAACCAACTGCGCAGAGACACAAAAAATGACACTTGCAGGGATCTTCGGTAAAAGGATGAGTTATCAAAACCCCCAAAATCATTCCAAAATCGATTTATTTAATAATTCATTAATTTCTCCTACTGAATTCTTCACTCCTTAAAACAACGATTTTCCGAACGAAGAATAAAAATTACCATATTTGCCAATATTTCCAGACATAAGATTCGAACGAAACATATTAAATCGAGTTTCTCGATTGATTGCCAATGAAATGTTAGAAAGACAATTTTATCGCTTGTCTTCAAAATCAATTAATACAGAAAGAAATATTGACAGTATAAAGAAGTTCTTTAAATTATTTGGGCTACAGACCTTGAAAACCAACTTCCTATTTGTGTCCTTTTTGATGCAGTTTGTGGATAATTTTTTAGGGAATTTATGCAATTGTTAGACGAATAAATGAACATATACTGACATAATATAGTGAACTGATTGATTTTAGTTCGAAAAAAAAATAAAGTCAAATTCAGAATTATTGAGAGTTAATTATTTTTATTTCAACCATCGTTATCGCAAAGTGTTCCTTGAATTGCGTCAGTAACCTTTACGCGGAAAAATCTGGAATTTACCTGTGTGAAATCCAGAGGAATATCAGAGGTATACAAAATGGGAATTGAACTAGACTGGAACCAAAGATATCCTCTCGAATCTATGAGCATTTGTGGCCCGAAGAAGTATTTATCAGATTTGTACACCACGTCTCTAGTATCCGGATTGAGGGGTGAATTCACTTTCCAACAGTGAATTTCATTAGTTTGTGCATCGGCTGTGAATACTACTCCAGTGGCATAATCAATTACACTTTTCAACGGCTGAGAATTACACCCTAAATATCCCATAATTCTGAAATCATCCGAGTTAAAATTGGCTGGAGATCTTCTCTTATTCTTAAGGATTCTTGTAGATACAGCATATTGAGCCGTTCCTGCTACCGAAGTGTAATAAGCTGTTCTATCACCGTCTTCATCGGGATAACCAAGAAATATAGAAAATAAACCCAAAGGCATATCAAAATTGTAAGTTCCACGGAACACCATGTGTGATTCTGCGATGACTGGCTTGAAAGTTTCATGATCAAATGTCCAAAAGTCATCTTTCTTATAATCGTATACAGTAAGGTAACCATAGAAGCCGTTTGTTATGTAAAACAAGACGTCAGTACAATCATCTGATTGGTAATCGGGAACAACGTGCATGAATCCATATGATCCCATTGCTGCTATTTTATCCGGAAGTTCTCTTCGACGTATGATAGGAAACTGGCGTGTTTCGCAACCATTTGACGGCAAACCAATGATCCACAAGGACGGTTTTTGAATATAATAAGTAGCATTTTGGTAATACTGAATCTGTCCGTGGTCCATGAACAGAACCCTGTCGCACTTTTCATCGCCATTTACGTGAAACACAGAAGCAATTCTCTTAATTTCTGATGGTTGTTCAACTGGAGCCAAAGTCGGTTTCTCATTCGGTTTCACATAAATAGGAACATAGTGATGATTGTTGTGATGTTTGTGGATTCTGGTCTCATCGTCTTCTTCTGTTTCCAATTGAGTGGCAAAATCAGACGCATGAAGTGCATTCAATTCGTAGTTGGGGAATCCCCATAACTTTGGACTTGAGCCAGTTGGATAATCTCCGATGCAGAAAGCACCAACTGATGTTGGAACTCCGGGTCTCAATCGCACATTTGCTGTCATTATCAATCCACTGGCGACATGATATGCTATTGATCCAACGCCATTATTTTCCGGGATGTAATATCTGTAGGGTCCAACCCATGAGTTTTCTAAAAATTGCACACATCACAGTTAATCTGGGTATTATTTTCACACACAATTTAATTCACCTGAGTATGGCAAATTCTCGTACTCCACCTTCTTCCAGCGAAACATTTCTTCAACATGTCCCACACTGAGAGCAGCAAAAGCTCCCAGCATCACAAAAACCGAAATATTCTTCATTCTAATAATGGTATTTGAACTGCAAGCCTGAACACGGTGAAATGGTTCTTGATTGAGTGCTGTTCTGCTTTTATACCACAGTTTGTGGGTCACTACCCTTTGCGCACCATCTTTATTCGAATTACCATATTAAAGAGCGATAATAAATTTTAAAAATCATGCGTGAGATAGGAATAGAGCTTTATATATTCAGTAGAGAATACATATCCATTGCCCACATTTTCAATACACATTCATCCGAAGATCAATATTGATAGCCATCGTCATTATCACACTGTTCCCCGAATAGCGTCAGAAACCTTTATTTGGAAAATCACATAAATTAACATTGACCACTGACATAAGAAAGTGAACTGATTGATTTTAGTTCGAAAAAAAAATAAAGTCAAATTCAGAATTATTGAGAGTTAATTATTTTTATTTCAACCATCGTTATCGCAAAGTGTTCCTTGAATTGCGTCAGTAACCTTTACGCGGAAAAATCTGGAATTTACCTGTGTGAAATCCAGAGGAATATCAGAGGTATACAAAATGGGAATTGAACTAGACTGGAACCAAAGATATCCTCTCGAATCTATGAGCATTTGTGGCCCGAAGAAGTATTTATCAGATTTGTACACCACGTCTCTAGTGTCCGGATTGAGGGGTGAATTCACTTTCCAACAGTGAATTTCATTAGTTTGTACATCGGCTGTGAATACTACTCCAGTGGCATAATCAATTACACTTTTCAACGGCTGAGAATTACACCCTAAATATCCCATAATCCTGAAATCATCCGAGTTAAAATTGGCTGGAGATCTTCTCTTATTCTTAAGGATTCTTGTAGATACAGCATATTGAGCCGTTCCTGCTACCGAAGTGTAATAAGCTGTTCTGTCACCGTCTTCATCGGGATAACCAAGAAATATAGAAAATAAGCCCAAAGGCATGTAATAATTGTAAGATCCACGGAAGACCAAGTGGGCTTCTGCGATTACTGGCTTGAAAGTTTCATGATCAAATGCCCAAAAGTCATCTTTCTTATAATCGTATACAGTAAGGTAACCATAGAAGGCATTTGTTATGTAAAATAAGACGTCAGTACAATCGTCTGATTGGTAATCGGGAACAACGTGCATGAATCCATATGATCCCATTGCTGCTATTTTATCCGGAAGTTCTCTTCGACGTATGATAGGAAACTGGCGTGTTTCGCAACCATTTGACGGCAAACCAATGATCCACAAGGACGGTTTTTGAATATAATAAGTGGCATTTTGGTAATACTGAATCTGTCCGTGGTCCATGAACAGAACCCTGTCGCACTTTTCATCACCATTTACGTGAAACACAGAAGCAATTCTCTTAATTTCCGATGGCTGTTCAATTGGAGCCAAAGTCGGTTTCTCATTCGGTTTCACATAAATAGGAACATAGTGATGATTGTTGTGATGTTTGTGGATTCTGGTCTCATCGTCTTCTTCTGTTTCCAATTGAGTGGCAAAATCAGACGCATGAAGTGCATTCAATTCGTAGTTAGGGAATCCCCATAACTTTGGACTTGAGCCAGTTGGATAATCTCCGATGCAGAAAGCACCAACTGATGTTGGAACTCCGGGTCTCAATCGCACATTTGCTGTCATTATCAATCCACTGGCGACATGATATGCTATTGATCCGACATCGTTGTTTTCCGGGATGTAATATCTGTAGGGTCCAACCCATGAGTTTTCTAAAAATTCCACACATCACAGTTAATCTGAGTATTATTTTCACACACAATTTAATTCACCTGAGTATGGCAAATTCTCGTACTCCACCTTCTTCCAGCGAAACATTTCTTCAACATGTCCCACACTGAGAGCAGCAAAAGCTCCCAGCATCACAAAAACCGAAATATTCTTCATTCTATATAATGGTATTTAAACTGCAAGCCTGAACATGGCGAAATGGTTCTTGATTGAGTGCTGTTCTGCTTTTATACCACAGCTTGCGGGTCACTACCCTCTGCGCGCTATATTTTTCGGGATTACCATATTAAAGAGGGATAATAAATTTTAAAATCATGCCTGTGGAAGAAATGAACCTTTTCTTGCATAATATGAACATAATTTTTTATGAAATCTGTTATTTATAGCGTATATATATCCATTGTCTACATATTCTATACATATACATCTGAAGATCAATATACATAGCCATCGTCACAGACTGTTCCCCGAATAGCATCAGATACCTTTACCCGGAAAATTCTGGCGTTCACTTGATTAAGATTTAGTGGCATGTCTGAGTAATATTTGACTGGAATATGAGTGGAATGAAACCACAAATATCCAAGTGAATCAATGAACATTTGTGGCCCGAAAAAGTACTTGTCAGACTTAAATATCACAGCGATATTATCTGGATTGAGCGGCTTCTTGATGTTCCAACAGCGAATTTCATTAGTTTGCATTTGTGAGTAAAACATAACCCCATAAGAGTAATCAATTACATTTCTGAGAGGTTGATTGTCACATCCCAAATATCCCATTATCTTAAAATCATTGTGAGCTAAACTTATTTCAGACTGTCGCTTATTTTTCAGAACTCGCGTGGACACTGAATACTGAGCTGTGCTTGCTACGGATGTATAATAAGCCATGCGATCTCCATTTTCATCAGCATAACCAAGTGCAATTGAATATATTCCCATTAACATTTGATAATCGAATGTTTTCCTGAAGACAAAAAATGATTCTGAAGCAACTGGCAAGAATGTTTGATGGTCGACTGACCAAAATTCGTCTTTTCTATAATCATAAACTATTAAATAGTTATAAAAAGTGTTTGTCATATAAAGGAAGAGATCGTCACATGAATTATCTGATTGGTAATCTAGAATTGTATTCATTATACCATTTGGTCCTTTCGCTGCAATTTTATCGGGTATTTCACTACGTCTAATTACGGAGAATTGCCGAGTAAAGCATCCATTTGAGGGCAGATTAATCACCCAAAGAGAGGGATTATAAATAGTATAAGTTGTATTCCTGTAATACACTAACTGTCCATTATCCACGAAGAATAGTCGATTACATTTTTCATCAATAGTTACAATAAAAACTGAAATGATTCTTTTGGGGCCTAATAGGTTCGTTGCCTTAATGCTATTTTCATAACCGCCATGAATTTGATTTGGCCTGTGCCACAATTTTCTCTCCTCATCTTCTTTTATGTCGTTTTCAAAATCTGATGCTTGTAGAGAATTCAATTGATAGTTAGGAAAACCCCATATTTTGGGACTTGAACTATTTCTGTTTTCGTGAACACAAAAAGCGGCCAATGACGTAGGAATTCCTGGTCTTAATCTGACCACTGTTACGAGCATCAATCCGCTGGCAGGATGATATCCCATAGAGTCAATTTCGTTATTTTCCGGAATGAAATATCTATACGGTCCAGTCCAGGAGTATTCTGTGCGATGAAAAATAAGTCATTGTAAAATTAAATGTAAAGTGAGACAAATCATACCAGAATTTGGCAAATTTTCATATTGAACTCTCTTCCATTTGTAGACTTCTTCAACACGAGAATATCCCTCTATATTTTGGATTACAAAGGCACTAAGAATTACAGTCACTATGGCAAATTCCATCACTAGAGATATCTATTGACTAAGCAAGAACACGAAGAAATGATTTCTCTTTGAGATGCAGACCTTCTTTTATACCTACAAGATTTCTGGGACACAATCTTTATGACACAAATCTGCATTTCAAATGATACAACATCGAGAAATGCTCATAATAAACTTTCATGAAAAGATGAAAAAATGTCACAACTATACAAACTTCTGCTTATGTATGTCATTTATAAAACAAATATCGCTTGAAATATTTATTTTTCAAAGATCTTTCAGATATTAACATGATTCCCGTCGTCGCAAACTGTTCCTTTAATTGCATCTGATACTTTCACGCGGAAAATCCTTGAGCTGATTTCTTGGCCATTGAGAGGAAGATCTGTGGTCCAATTGACAGTGACCTGATCAGTGTTGAACCATAAGTATCCTTTGGAATCTATAAACATTTGTAAAGTAAAGAATAATTTGTCTGATTCAAAAATCACGCCGATATTGTCGGGATTAAGTCTTTTCTTGATGTTCCAGCATCGAATTTGATAGGATTGTGCTTCGGCGTAAAACATTACTCCGTAAGTGTAATCAATTACTGTCCCGATTGTCTGATGACCACTTCCTCGATAGCCAATTAGTTCAAAGTCATCCTGTGTCAAATTGGCCGAAGATTTACTTTTATCTTTCAATATTTTAGTAGAAACCGCAAACTGAGCTGTGCTGGCAATAGGTGAATAATATGCTAGTCTATCACCATTCTCGTCTGGATATCCTAGTGCAACATGGAACACTCCTAGTGGCATATATATATCTAATACCTTATTGAAAACAAAATTCGATTCAGCAATAATTGGGTGGAATGTTTCATGTTCGAATGACCAGAATTCATCGTTTTTGTAATCGTACACGACAAGATAATTGTAGAATGCATTAGCTATGTACAAGAACATATCATCACAAGAATCTGACTGATAATCCGGAGTCACTACCATGAATCCATTTGATCCTTTTGCAGAAATCCTCTCTGGGAGTTCAGATCGTCTGATGATTGGGAAGTTTCGAGTTTTACATCCGTCAGAAGGGAGTCCAATGACCCACAAGGACGGCTTTTGGATTGAGTAAGTTGTGTTTTGATAGTACTGAAGATTTCCATTGTCCATGAAGAAAACTCTATTACATTTCTCATCAACTGTGACATGGAAAACGGAGATTATTCTCTTTTCCTCGAGAGACTTTTCTGTCGTCACCACTGAGCGTCTCTGCTTGAATTGATCAACAGAAAACGTTTCTTCGATCGTTATGGTATCGACAAATTGATTATCCTCGTCTAGTGGTGTCAATCTTTTGAATTCCACTTTCTCAAGTGGCATTGAGAAATCGGATTCATTGAGAGCATTTATCTTGTAATTAGGAAAGCCCCAAATTTTGGGACTTGTTCCCACTTTATAATCACTAACACAGAATGCGCCTAACGACGTTGGAACTCCTGGTCTCACTCTGACGAATGATACAATCATTAGTTCACTTGCAGGATGATATCCAAAACCAGAAACATCATTATTCTCCGAAATATAATACTTATACGGCCCCACAAAAGAATTTTCTGGAAAAGCAAGGTAAAATCACGAGTAATCCACATTTATTATTATTATATAATATTCTTTAACAACCTGAATGAGGCAAATTTTCGAATTCCACTTTGTTCCACTTGAAGACTTCTTCCACTTTGTCTTTGGGATATCCAAAGGCAAAAGTAAAAATGAGAGTGAATATTAGTTTAGATAACTTCATTGTGCTTCTGTTGTTTTCTTCACTCGACACAGCCAAGTGACTCTTCTCACTGATGGAATTCTCCTTTTATACCAACTTTTTCATGAAACTAGAATATTTTGTGAATTTGAAATTCAAATCAGCGATATTAGAGGATAAAAATAATATGATTGGCATTTCAATATAAAATATATATAATAGAAATCTTTGAAGTCATGACATAATATTAAGTCTCTACGTGAATGCAAAGAAGATAGCAAACAACACAAATAAAAGCAGAAAACATTTATTTATAAGCCATAGATTCTCACAATTACCATATATTCCTGATATAATGATTCTTCTACCCTCTATTTCTCATTGACCAGAACTGTAAGTTAGTATTTATCTTTATCCTCACAAACTGTTCCCCTAATGGCATCTGACACCTTAACACGGAAGAACCTAGAATTAACTTCTTGTACATTAAGAGGAATGTCTGTACTCCAAATAACAGGGATATGATTCATGTTAAACCATAGATATCCTTTGGAATCTATAAACATTTGTAAAGAATTCAATAATATTTCAGACTCAAAAATCACACCAATATTGTCGGGATTAAGTCTTTTCTTGATATTCCAGCATCGAATTTGATAAGATTGTGATTCCGCATAAAACATTACTCCATGAGTGTAATCAATTACTGTCCCGACTGTCTGATGACCACTTCCTCGATATCCAATTAGTTCAAAGTCATCCTGTGTCAAATTGGCCGATGATTTACTTTTATCTTTCAATATTTTAGTAGAAACCGCAAACTGAGCTGTGCTGGCAATAGGTGAATAATATGCTAGTCTATCACCATTCTCGTCTGGATATCCTAGTGCAACATTGAACATTCCCAAAGGAGCATAATAATTCAAAGCACTTTTAAACACAAAATTGGATTCAGCAATAATTGGGTGGAATGATTCATGTTCGAATGACCAGAATTCATCATTTTTGTAGTCGTAAACCACAAGATAATTGTAATATAAATTGGCAATATAGAAAAATACATCCTCACAAGAATCTGACTGATAATCCGGAGTCACTACCATGAATCCATTTGATCCTTTTGCAGAAATCCTCTCTGGGAGTTCAGAGCGTCGAATGATTGGAAAGTTTCGAGTTTTACATCCGTCAGAAGGAAGTCCAATGACCCACAAGGACGGCTTTTGGATTGAGTAAGTTGTGTTTTGATAGTACTGAAGATTTCCATTGTCCATGAAATATACCCTATCGCACTTTTCATCAACAGTAAAATAGAAAACGGAGATTATTCTCTTTTCTTCGGAAGACTTTTCTATCGTCACCACTGATCGTCTCTGCTTGAATGGAAGTTGATCACCAGAGGGAACTTTTTCGATCGTTTTGGTATCGGCAAATAGATTATCGTCGTCTAGAGGTGTCAATCTTCTGAATTCCACTTTCTCAACTGGCATTGAGAAATCCGATTCATTGAGAGCATTTATCTTGTAATTAGGAAAACCCCAAATCTTAGGACTTGTTCCCACTTTATAATCACTAACACAGAATGCGCCTAACGACGTTGGAACTCCTGGTCTCACTCTGACGAATGATACAATCATTAGTTCACTTGCAGGATGATATCCAAAACCAGAAACATCATTATTCTCCGAAATATAATACTTATACGGCCCCACAAAAGAATTTTCTGGAAAAGCAAGGTAAAATCACGAGTAATCCACATTTATTATTATTATATAATATTCTTTAACAACCTGAATGAGGCAAATTTTCGAATTCCACTTTGTTCCACTTGAAGACTTCTTCCACTTTGTCTTTGGGATATCCAAAGGCAAAAGTAAAAATGAGAGTGAATATTAGTTTAGATAACTTCATTGTGCTTCTGTTGTTTTCTTCACTCGACACAGCCAAGTGACTCTTCTCACTGATGGAATTCTCCTTTTATACCAACTTTTTCATGAAACTAGAATATTATGTGAATTTGAAATTCAAATTAGCGATATTAGAGGATAAAAATAATATGAGTGACATTACTGTATCTATCCAAAATGTATTTTATGTCTTAGCATGTTATTGTTTCTTTACTAAATTTTGAGATTAAAACGAACAGTCAAATATCAGCAGAAAACATTTTTTTAATTATCCATCGATTCTTGCATATGCTCTTCACTGAATACATTTACTGTTAAATTCTCATCAGACCTGATCTACAAGCATACTAACTTGCAGATCAGGTTTCTGGTTATCCTAGTCTAGTCTGTGATTATCCGCACACACTGTTCCCCTGATGGCATTTAATACTTTAACGCGGAAAATCCGAGAGTTCACTTCAGTTAGATTTAGAGGAAGATCCGTTGTCCAATTAATGGGAATATGATCAGTAATAAACCATAAATATCCTTTGGAATCTATAAACATATCTACATTGAATAACAATTTGTCAGACTCAAAAATCACGCCGATATTGTCGGGATTAAGCGTTTTCTTGATATTCCAGCATCGAATTTGATAGGATTGTGCTTCCGCGTAAAACATCACTCCATGAGAGTAATCAATTACTGTTTTAATACTTTGATGTCCACTTCCTCGGTGCCCAAGTAGCATAAAATCGTTTTGTGTAATATTAGACGAAGATTTACTCTCATCCTTCAGAATTTTTGTAGATACAGTAAATTGAGAAACACTTCCGATTGGTGTATAGAAAGCTGGTCTATTGCCATTTTCATCAGGATATCCCAAAGCTAAATTAAATAAACCCAGAGGTAAGTAGAAATTCAATGCCTTATTGAAAACGAGATATGATTCAGCAGCAACAGGATGGAATGTTTCATGTTCGAATAACCAGAATTTATCGTTTTTGTAATCGTAAACCACAAGATAATTGTAGAATGCATTAGCTATGTACAAGAACACATCATCACAAGAATCTGATTGATAATCCGGAGTCACTATCATATATCCATTGGATCCTTTCGCAGAAATCCTCTCTGGGAGTTCAGAGCGTCTAATGATTGGAAAGTTTCGTGATTCACATCCATCAGAAGGAAGTCCAATGACCCACAAGGACGGCTTTTGGATTGAGTAAGTTGTGTTTTGATAGTACTGAAGATTTCCATTCTCCATGAAGAAAACTCTATTACATTTCTCATCAACTGTGACGTGGAAAACGGAGATTATTCTCTTCTCTTCGACAGAATTATATGATTCCATTATTGAGCGTTGATTAGCAGAGGGAATTTTCACAATTGTTTTGGTATCGACAAATTGATTATTATTTTCTGTGAGAGATGTTAATTCACTTTTAAACTCAACTTTCTCAACTGACATTGAGAAATCCGATTCATTGAGAGCATTTATCTTGTAATTAGGAAAACCCCAAATCTTAGGACTTGTTCCCACTTTATAATCACTAACACAGAATGCGCCTAACGACGTTGGAACTCCTGGTCTCACTCTGACGAATGTGACAATCATTAATTCACTTGCAGGATGATATCCAAAACCAGTCACATCAATATTTTCCGGAATGTAATACTTATACGGTCCCACGTTTGAATTTTCTGTAATGATAAAATAACAATAGCAAGTAACACTTTTCTTAAGAACTCAATTTTATTATTTTTCAACAACCTGGTTGTGGTAAATTTTCATATTCTACTTTGCTCCACTTGAAAACTTCTTCCACTTGATCATGTAGATTTCCTAACACAAGTTGTATAAATATTACAGTGAAAAAAATTATTTTTTTCGAAAAATTATGTATATCATGTAAATCCATTATTATTGCTCTTTTCTTCACTAAACACAATCAAATATGACAATATTCAATGCTGAAATTCTTATTATATACCTGGAGTTTTCCCCCACGAGTTCTTTAATCCATCTGGCTAATTCGAAAAGAGTGGGAGGAGAAGTTGTTCGACAAGAACTTAATTGGCTCTTGTTAGTGGAATTAAAAGCGGTTCTTTCGCAGAGCTGGTTTATCTCGAATTACCATACAAAAACCATAATTCTGATATGCATATACACATTATTATTATCAATTAGTTTTGCCGACTAAAAACTGTAAAATATAATTACTTGTTATTGTTGATTCCAAATAAGGAAAGAATACATATTTATTTAGTTAAATATTATTATATAACGCTACATCAAATTATGTTTCCTTTCACTTTTGCATGATAGAAAAATTGCAAATAGATATTAATTGGCATTATCACAAACTGTTCCTCGGATGGCATCTGATACTTTCACCCTAAACATTCTAGAATTCACTTCATTGAGATTTAATGGAATATCTGTAGCCCAATCAATGGGAATGTGATCAGTGTTGAACCACAAATATCCACTAGAATCTATGAACACTTCCACAACGAATAATAATTTATCTGACTCGAAAATTACATCAATATTGTCTGGATTGAGCGGCTTCCTGATATTCCAGCATCGAACTTGATAGGACTGAAGTTCCGCATAAAACATAACTCCGTAAGTGTAATCAATGGCAATTTTACCAGTCTGATGATCACATCCTCGATATCCCATGATTCTGAAATCGTCTTGTTTGAAATTAGCAGGTGATTTTCTTCGGTCTTTGAGTATTTTAGTTGATACTTCAAATTGAGCAGTACTTCCGTTTGGGGCATAAAATGCCGTACGATCTCCATTCTCGTCGGAAAATCCTAAAGCAATATTACATATTCCCAAAGGAAAATAATAGTTCAGGGTTTTATCAAATATCATGTATGATTCAGCGACGACTGGTTTAAAATTTTCGTGTTCAAAAGACCAGAATTCATCCTTTTTATAGTCATATACGACTAGAAAATTGTAGAACGAATTAACAATGTACACAAACACATCATCACAAGAATCTGATTGATAATCCGGAGTTACTATCATATATCCATTTGATCCTTGCGCATAAATTCTCTCTGGAATCTCAGAGCGTCGAATAATTGGGAAGTTTCGAGTTTCACATCCATCAGAAGGGAGTCCAATGACCCATAAAGATGGTTTTTGGACGGAGTAAGTTGTATTTTGGTAATATTGCAGAATGCCATTTTCCATAGAATACAATCGATTGCACTTCTCATCAACATTGAGGTGAAAAACGGAGATAATTCTTCTGACTTCGAGAGGTTTTTCTATAGAGATTGCTGGGTGTTTCTTGATGGGAAATGAGGAAACATGATGAATATTTATATAATGATTGGCGTATTGAATATTTGGATATTTGTTATGTTTGTGATGTTTTATCAATCCTCTGTGACTATCATCTTCTTCAATTGGTTCTGAGAAATCTGATTCTATCAGGGCATTTAATTCGTAATTAGGAAAGCCCCAAATTTTAGGGCTTTTTTCTATTTTATGATTATCACCAACACAAAATGCTCCCAAAGACGACGGCACTCCCGGTCTGACTCGCATCACAGTTACAAGCATGAGTCCACTTGCTGAATGATATCCAAAACTGATGACATCATTGTTTTCAGGAATGTAATATTTATACGGTCCCACATAAGAGTTTTCTGGAAAAAATTTCACGAAATCATTTATTTTAGGTTGAAATTTTATTTATTTATTAATAACCTGACTGAGGTAAATTCTCATATTCTACTTTCTTCCATTTGAAAACTTCTTCCACTTTGTCCTTGGGTTTTCCACATGCAAGTACGAAAAATGTTGTAAATGCAGTGAATATTACTCTTGATATCTTCATTTGAATGTTCTTCTTTTCACAAGACACAACCAATTGACATGCTCAATTCGCAAAATCTTATTTTATACCTGAAGTTTTGGGTTGGTGTGTGTTATTGGGAGAAGAAGTTGCTTGGCGAGAACTATTCGCCTGCGGAATCAAGAGTGGTTCTTTCGTGGGTCATCTTCGTCTAAAATCACCTTTCCGATTTACAATAAAAAGCCATAAATTGGAGTATATATATATATATGTATTTTGACCAATGAAATCTGCATTTCAAATGTTAAATATAACTTTCGTTAAATATTCTTTCACATAAGTCAAACAAATGCGAAAACTATTTTCACAATATACGATAGAAAAAGTCAATTTAATTCAATATTCTCACAAGCTGTTCCTTCGATAGCACCTGACACTTTCACTCGGAAAATTCTAGAATTTACCTCATTTATGTTCTTTTATTCATAACAGAAAAAAATGTACGTTTTGTTTTATATATACGCACACATTTGTGCATTTATTTCGGGCAATTGTTACAACTAAAAAAAATACCACACATTTCTATTGAAGACATGTTATCATTGCTTCTCTCCATTTGTCAATCAGAACTGTGTATTCTTGCAATTATACTCATGCCACCAGTTATCCAATTGATCGTATATTATCTGAGCTGTGTTGTCGCACTTTTGTGTCTCTCCTCGCATCAGCAAATCCTCTCATCAAGTTTGCAGATGCATTGCAATGTGAGTATCTTTCTTTATGGATCACTTCGAGAGAAGATTGATGTGTTTTGTGCTTGTTTTACAGGAGTCAGTTCCTTTCTCCGCACGCAAGGCAAGTCTCCCAGTGCGTGGACACGCCGGAGAGGGTGAACTTCCTCGTCAGCAACTGTGGTGTGAATGGTGCCAGGGGAAAAAATGTGCTGGGCCGCGGTGGCTTCGGGATTGTGCTGAAGGCTACGTACAGAGGTAAGTTTTACTCCCAGAGATTCTTCGCCTCCACCCGAAAACCGATGGTGGTGATGAAAAGAGGCCTTTCGAAGTGATACACAGACATTACAAATCGCCAGCGCGAGTCAATGGGAAAATAAGGAGGGAAAGTCTCCTCATTTACATTGAAGTTGTATATGTAATAATACCCCGCCGGAATAGGGCATTTCCGTGGGAAATTTCCATACTCCAAGACTGTGGGATAGAAGAGCGCCAGCACAAGACTCTGTCGGGCGGGATTCTTGAGAAAGGCACAAAAATCCAGCTTTGTATCCATAATGCTGGGATGATATCGATTTCCCTTCTTCTCGTAACTCTTAGCTGAAATGTAAACACTATCATTGAGATCCACTTTGAATGTGGCTGTCGAATTGAGTCCATCGAAAGTTCTATTCAGTTTCCTGATGAAGATCGATGCATCCTCAATGATGTCTGGAGCTTTAATTTCAACTTTTACGTTTTCCTGCACTATCTTAAAATTTCTCAACCCATCGCAACACCCAACAAAGAGAATCACACCCAGAAGAGCTGTAGATCTCATTGTGCTCTAACTGAAACTGTTGGTGTAACGTGAAATTGTCTCTTTTGCGATGATTTCAAGCAGAAATAATCCCATTTTCGCATCCGCCGCTGGGACAAAAGCCCATCAAATTACACTAATCTCGTTTGATTTTTTGCTAGGCACACGTGTGGCAGTCAAAGTAGTTGACTTGCATCATCAGCACTGTCGTGAATCGCTGGAAAATGAGGGAAATATTCTCGGCTGGAAGCATTCCAACATCATTCAAATACTGAAGATCACATCAGGCGAACATCATGGGCTTGTGATTATGGAGAGAGTTTCCGGAGATAATCTCCAGTCCATCCTGAATACTGTGTGCATAGGAAGGCGATCAGCTCTTGAAATCCTTTGTCAAGTAGCATCAGGACTGATTTATTGCCACTGTCGAGGCATCATTCATGGTGATCTCAAGCCTCAGAACATTCTCATCACCATAACGGATGATAAGAATGGTTTTCTAGTGAAATTATGTGATTTCGGGAGTTCCTTTGCAATCAATGAGCACACAAAAGGCAATGAATGTCGGGGAACCATCAGATATATGGCTCCGGAAGCTCTCAAAGCTGGTTCTCTAAGTCCCAAAATAGATATTTACAGCTTTGGAGTGACTATGTGGCAGATTAAGTGTCGAAAAGTGCCTTATGAAGAAATTCACAACAACCACACCATCGCATATCGTGTAGTCAGAGAAGGATTAAGACCGGATATTTGTCAGGAAATTTCCCGCAGGATCCCCAAAATCTTCCTCAATAGCGGCAGTCTAAAGACAGACTATTCAGTCTCTCCACGAAAGATTAAAAGTGAGAGTTTAAACATAAATACAGAAAACTCGCAGGAAAACCTTTCTAGGTCATTAAATGCTCTTCTCAAGGAAGCTAAAATTGAGAACCACGTAAAAAGTCCTGTACTTAAAAAGAAAATCCCGTGGAGAAAGATCTTAACATCTAAGAAGTGGATAGAAAACGAGGAACTGGCGTCGAATTATCGTGATTTATTCACAATTTGCTGGCATGAAGATCCTAAATGTCGTCCTGAAGCCTCAGAACTTTTATCTCAACTTCAGAAATTTGCATCCAAAACCACTGACAATGTTTTCACTCTATATCCTTAAAAATAAAGAACACATTACAATAAAAGTATGTACGTGTTTCACACTTTTTTTTCTATGCCCTAAAGTTCTTATTGAGGCATAGAAAGTCATTATTGAGCAATAAATTGACTCTCCGTTGATATCACCACACCAAATTATTACAGGGTGATAAGCTGCATGTTGTTCTCTTCATTTTCTTAGTAACACATTTGTAAAGCTTGTTCAAAGGTTCTCTCAATGCATAAGACATACAATTGTAGGATGTATAATATTTATTTGCGCTTGTGTATTCTCACAAAACTTAGGAGTCAAGGGCATTTTCGGTTTTCAATACAATGTCTGCAAATCAATATTCATCGCTATTCTCACAAACTGTTCCTTTAATTGCATCTGAAACTTTTACGCGGAAAATTCTGGAATTTACCTTATTTAGATTCAGGGGCATATCTGTGGTCCAAAACATAGGAATTTGATCTGTGTTGAACCACAAATATCCTTTAGAATCTATTAGAATATGCAGGTTATATAATAATTTCTCTGATTCGTAAATTACATCAATATTTTCAGGCGTGAGAGATTTCTTAATATTCCAGCATCGAATTTGGTAGGATTGAGCTTCAGCGTAGAATATTACTCCATGAGTGTAATCAATTACTGTCCCGATTGTCTGATGACCACTTCCTCGATAGCCAATTAGTTCAATGTCATCCTGTGTCAAATTAGCCGAAGATTTACTTTTATCTTTCAATATTTTGGTAGAAACAGCAAACTGAGCTGTGCTGGCAATAGGGGTATAATATGCTGTTTTATCTCCTTTGTCATCTGGATATCCTAGTGCAACATTGAATATTCCCAAAGGATAATAATAATTCAATGTCATATCAAACAAGAAATTGGATTCAGCAATAATTGGAAGGAATGTTTCATGTTCAAATGACCAGAATTTATCCTTTTTGTAATCGTATACCACAAGATAATTATAAAATGAATTAGCTACGTAGAGAAATACATCATCACAGGACTCAGACTGATAATCTGGAATCACTATCATGAATCCAAATGACCCTTTTGCAGAAATCCTGTCTGGAAGTTCAGAGCGTCGAATGATTGGGAAATTTCGAGTTTTGCAACCGTCAGAAGGTAGTCCAAGAACCCACAAGGACGGCTTTTGGATGGAATAAGTCGTATTTTGATAGTACTGAAGATTTCCATTGTCCATGAAATATACTCGATCACACTTTTCATCTACTGTGACGTGGAAAACTGAAATGATTCTCTTCTCCTTGAGAGAATTTTGCTGATTTTCCACTGAGCGTCTCTGCTTTAATGGAATATGTTCAAGAGAGGGGATTTTTCCATCTGCATCTACAGCATCAAATTGATTTTGTTCGCCGACAGCTAATAATTCACTTTTCCACTCCTCTTTTTCAACTGGCTTTAAGAAGTCCGACTCATTGAGAGCATTTATCTTGTAATTAGGAAAGCCCCAAATTTTGGGACTTGTTCTCACTTTGGAATTATCTAAGCAAAATGCTCCCAAACTCGTCGGCACACCCGGTCTGGCTCTGACCAATGTTACAAGCATTAGTTCACTTGCAGGGTGATATCCAAAGCCTACCACATCATTGTTTTCCGGGATATAATACTTGTATGGTCCCACATATGAACTTTCTGGAAAAGTAAGTAAATGACAAATAACATTCACTTGAAATCTCCTGAGAAAAATCTCTTTTTTATTAATTTACCTGATTGAGGTAAATTTTCAAATTCTATTTTTGTCCACTTAAAAATTTCGTTCACTTTGTCTTTGGTATGTCCAAACACGAGATGTATGATAGTAACAAAAAATATTATTTTCGACACATTGAACTGAAGATTCATCATTGTTGTTTTTCACTGCACTCGGCACAAAGAAGTGACTGTTCTCACTGTTAAGATTCTCCTTTTATACAATCTCTTTCGTGAAACAAGAATTATAATTTTTGCAAATTTGAAATTCAAATCGTTCAGGGGTTTTTGGATTATTTATGATTTAATTTAAAGTTTGCCAATGCCAAATTTGTTATTCATGTTTAATTTTCTACTGCAAGATTTTCTCACTAGTAAAGACATGCAATTGCAGAATATATATGTATATATTTATTTTCGCATATGCAATCTTACAAGTTTTTCTTAATCCTATATATGGAAGTTAATATTTACTGCCGTCCTCACAAACTGTTCCCCTAATGGCGTCTGACACTTTCACTCGGAAAATTCTAGAATTCACTTCATTGAGATTCAGCGGAATATCCGTCGGCCAATTAATGGGAATGTGATCAGTGTTGAACCACAAATATCCTCTGGAATCTATGAACATTTGTAAATTGAACAATAATTTCTCTGATTCGAAAACTACATCAATATTATCTGGATAGAGTGGTTTTCTTATATTCCAGCATCGAATTTGATAGGATTGTGCTTCTGCATAAAACATCACTCCGTAAGTGTAATCAATGACAATTTTCACTGTTTGATGATCACATCCTCGATATCCTATGATTCTGAAATCGTCTTGTTTGAAATTAGCCGGAGATTTCCTTCGGTCTTTAAGGACTTTTGTAGACACAGCGAATTGTGCTGTGCCTGCAATGGGAGTATAATATGCTGACCTATCTCCATTCTCATCTGGATATCCCAAAGCTAAGTTAAAAAAGCTGAGAGGGAAAGAATAGACAAGGGTTTTATCAAATATCAAGTGCGATTCAGCAAAAACTGGAAGAAATGTTTCATGTTCAAAAGACCAGAATTCATCCTTTTGGTAATTGTACACCACGAGGAAACTATAGAATGAATTAGCTATGTACAAGAACACATCATCACAAGAATCTGACTGATAATCCGGAGTCACTATCATATATCCATTTGATCCTTTCGCAGAAATCCTGTCAGGCAGCTCAGAGCGTCGAATGATTGGAAAGTTTCGTGTTTCACATCCATCAGACGGAAGTCCAATAATCCATAAAGATGGCTTTTGGATGGAGTAAGTTGTGTTTTGATAGTACTGAATATTTCCATTGTCCATGAAATATACTCGATCACACTTTTCATCAACTGTGACGTGGAAAACTGAAATGATTCTTTTCACTTCGAAAGGTTTCTTAATGGGAATTTGGGGAATATTGTAGTGAATACTTCCATGATTATTGTCATAATTTGGATATTTGTTATGTTTATCATGTTGAATCAATCTTCTTTCCCATTCATCTTCTACGATTGGTTCTGAGAAATCTGATTCTATCAGAGCATTAAGTTCATAATTAGGAAAGCCCCAAATTTTGGGACTTGTTTCTATTTTATGATTATCACCAACACAAAATGCTCCCAAAGACGACGGCACTCCAGGTCGAAGTCTGACCACAGTTACAAGCATGAGTCCACTTGCTTGATGATATCCAAAACCCGTCACATCATTATTTTCCAGAATATAGTACTGATATGGTCCCACGTAAGAACTTTCTACAAAAATCAAAATCCAACGGCTAGATATATATAATTCCATCGAGAAATTGTCAATTTTTTCTAATAACCTGATTTAGGTAAATTTTCATATTTTACTTTATTCCACTTGAAGACTTCTTCCACTTTTTCCTTCTGAGTTCCAAATACAAATGTGAAAAATATCACGGTAAATATTATCTGAGATACCTTCATTGCAATGAATGTTTCTTTCTTCACAATGCACAATGAATTGGGATCCTCAATGCTGAGAAACTCCTTTTATACCATCTCATTCGAGAATCAACCTTTTTTTTGTGAATTATAGATGCAAATCAGCATATTCCAATCTGAAAGATATTTGTGCTTGTATTTGATTTATGCTTACATATTATTTTCTCTCTGATCATTTATTTATAACATAACAAATGTTGCAATATATATTTACACATATAATGTTACGTTTTTATCTTTGCCTCATTCTATTTTTCACGACTGATCAGCCAGTCTATACTGATTACTATCTTCGCATACTGTTCCTCGGATAGCATCTGACACTTTCATCCGGAAAATTCTGGAATTCACCTCATTGAGATTCAGCGGAATATCCGTAGTCCAATCAATGGGAATGTGATCAGTGTTGAACCACAAATATCCTCTTGAATCAATAAACAATTGCAGACCAAATAACAGTTTGTCTGACTCGAAAACCACATCTATATAGTCAGGATTGAATGGTTTTTTGATATTCCAGCATCGAATTTGATAGGACTGAATTTCCGCGAAAAACATAACTCCGTAAGTGTAATCAATTTCACTTTTAATAGTTTGATGATCACATCCTCGATATCCTATAATTCTGAAATCGTCTTGTTTGAAATTCGCCGGAGATTTCCTTCGGTCTTTTAGAACTTTTGTGGATACAGCGAAATGTGCAGTACTTGCAGATGGCGCGTAAAATGCCGTACGATCTCCATTCTCATCTGGATATCCCAAAGCGATATTCAATATTCCCAATGGAAAATAATAATTCAAGGTTTTATCAAAAACTGCGAATGATTCAGCAAAAACTGGATGGAATGTTTCATGTTCAAAAGACCAGAATTCATCCTTTTGGTAATTGTACACCACTAAATAGCTATAGAATGAATTGGCACTGTACACATATACATCATCACAAGAATTTGATTGATAATCCGGAGTCACTATCATAAATCCATTTGATCCTTTCGCAGAAATCCTGTCAGGCAGCTCAGAGCGTCGAATGATTGGGAAGTTTCGAGTTTCGCATCCATCAGAAGGCAGTCCAATAATCCATAAAGATGGCTTTTGGATAGCATAAGTCGTATTTTGATAGTACTGAAGATTTCCATTGTCCATGAAATATACTCGATCACACTTTTCATCTACTGTGACGTGGAAAACTGAAATGATTCTTTTCACTTCGCTAGGCTTTTCTGTTACAGTCACTGGAGGATAAATGTAAATTGGTTTGTGGACTACTTCGTGATGATTTCCATGATTTTTATCGTAATTGTAGTGCCCAAATTT